TTTGAAAGCAATATGTATCCTAAACAGATAGAAGTCATTGGTATCATGCATGAAACATTTGCTGAAATACATAATGAGTCTGAATTTACCCGCACGGGTAGCTCAGTTGGTCGAGTGGTGGGAGATTTGGAACAATGGACCAAGGATTGAATCCCCGCAGCGATCGGGTGGAGGTCACAGAACCTGAAATAAGGCTGGACCTCTGGTACGCACGGGTGTATGGGCCTACTGCCATTCTACTGACTGAGTCACTGTGACTAACCTCCCCACCATCCTGTCGGGTCGGGGTGGGGGGGCTCCTGGGGTGGGAGATTCCACCTTTTGGAACAATATAATGAGTCTGAATTTAAATCAAAATTGTATAACAAGAATTACATATAAACTCATACCCATTTAAAAAATATTCAGGGTTGAGTTTGAGCCCAAACTCAATTCATTTGTAGACCTAAACACTAATGAATAAGATTTCAAGAATTCTTTGAATGTTTTCCCGATTGAAGTTTTAGCTGAAATTTGGTATGAGTAAACTAGACTTAATGAATAAGATTCTCAAAAAAAAATCATCAAAAAAATCCACCGGGAACTACCCAAAATGGCGATGGTCGGACAGAGCCTCTTATATAAGGGCTTATTTGACCTTTTTTGTTAGTACGTGGGCTTATTTGTCCCTTTTTCCAAAATGAAATTGTATTTTTTATTCATATAAAATATAAGAAAGTAATAACCACCATGAAACTGATTTATATGTTTTTTTAGACTCGGGATAGCTTAAAAGTACTTTTTTTTAATTATAAGAAGAGTTTTTTATTCATATAAATTCCTTTTTCCTACAAAAAAAGAATTAAAAATTTAATTTAAAATAAATGCTCCGTATTAAAAACATGGTGATTGCTATGGTACTTAGCAAAAATACAAGGGTACGGTACATATGATGCATTTCATTGGTCCAACTCAATATTTCATATTTTATTTATTCAATTGGAAATTTTTGATTGGTCCACACCTTCCGGGTACGGTATCTTAAAGGTACAGTAGAAATTGTCTAAAAACATTAGTAAATGTGGAACTAGTTGCTCTCTCTGGGGTCTCTGAAGGCTGCCTCCTAGGCTCCTAGCTAGTGGATCGCGGAAGGATTTGGTGAAGATTGTTTCCATCCAACTGCTCTTTTGTCTCAGAGTGGTGACATTTGCTCTTGGTGATTTTTGGTAGTGTTATGATTAATCATTCTTCTTTTGTTGTTGTGTTTGTTCTCTTCTATGATGGTTCTTTCCCGGGCATTCGAGCTCCGTGATGTTTTGTCTTCCTCGATGTGGGAGTTGCTTTGGTGTCACTGCCGGTTATGACTGGTCAGGAGTTTCTGTCCTCCTCCGAAACCACATCCATGTCAAGAAGAGTTTTATGAAAAGGTTTTATTTCAGTATTATCTTTGCTTTGATTGTACTTGTGTTTATTTTAGTTCGAGTAGTTTTAGTTTCATAGTTTGAATATTTGGAATACTTCTGTTAGGTAGTGTTTCGGTGCCGGTCATTTTAGACTTAAAATTGCTCATTTTGTGTTTAGCGAGTCAAGTATGAATCGGATCTTTAGTACGAATTGTCTGGAGGTTGTCTTGTATGATGTTTTGATATTAATATAAAAAGCCACTCTTTTACTTTCAAAAAATATATCTCATAATAGTTTTAATACATTTTCTAGTCTAGATTATTAGTTAAGTGACAAGAGCTTCTATATTATTTGCGAATGTGATAGACTCTGAGTCTGGTTCAAGGGCAGATGCTCGAAAGGGAAGAGCTTTTTGTCTTTTTGTAACTTGCTTAAGTTCTGATTATTCAATATAAGTCACCTTCTTCCAAAATATCCAGTCTTAGTGAATTATAAACTACGCAAAGTTGCCAATGACGGAGCTAGAGGGGGGCAACCTAAATTAAAAAAATGCTTGCGAAGGTGATATTAGTTAAAAAAAATGCTTGCGAAGGGGGGCAGACCCACCCCAAATTCAAAAAATGCTTTTATTTTTAAGGTAAAAAGTATGTGTATTTTTTCTCAAAAATGTTTTGTACCGGTTCATAGCGGCCCGATTCTCTGACTCCGCCCCTGATAGTTGTCATCAGCGTATGATAACAATCATAGCTCTCACTTTTGAGGCATTTTTCCATCGCCATGACGAAGACACATTCATAAGTCATATGGAACAAAAAAAATAGCACTCCCTCCGTCCCGGAATTATCTTCATTCTTTCCTTTTTGGTCCGTCCCAAATTTATCTCCTTTTTCCCTTTTTGGTAAAGAATATGTGGTTCACAACCATTCTTACACATTTCTCTCCACCACACAAATCTCACTATCTTAAAACCCGTTCCCGGTTAAAACCAGAGTTAAATATGGGACGGAGGGAGTACTAAACAGATGAAGTTTAGACACTATAAATCTATGACCAAATCAAAAGCACGAGCAAAAAAACTCATTTTTTGAAAGAATGAGCAAAAAAATGAATATTCATACTTTAATAAAAACATTTGAAGTTAAAATAGTTGAAATGTTGAATAGCCGCATATTTTGCCTTTAGTCATTCCTCGTTTAGGTTTAGGGAGCTTTCAGAAACTATTTTTATTTGGTCTGAAATTTTCTAATTTAGTCTAATCTGATTTGATCTGTTCTAGTCCAGTGGATATTTGGTCTCTATATTATTTACAACTATTAAGATCTGATCTAATCTGGTCTGAGACTAAAATAAGTCCAAGTAAAAACACTTATGATTTTACACTAGTTGCGTAACTTTCTATGACTTTAACAGTTTAATTTAGTTGGCGTCTTTAATTATATATACTACCTTCATCCTAACTTAAGGTTCCAATTGCAAAAAGTAAGATTATTAGACAATAATTAAATAAAACAATTCAAATATATTTTGAGAAAAAGTTCTTATAAATATATAACATGATGAGATCATTAACCATAATTGTTATGTTCTAAATGTATTATTTTTAATATTTGATAGTTAAATTGTCATTTAAGAGTGCTAATCATTTGCTAAAATAAAAACGAGAACAGATATCAAAACAATGAAAGTTATAATCTTAAAATAGGACAGGGGAAATACTTCTTATTGGGAGTGTTATAAATAGGGGTGGATCGGTTCCGGTTCGGGCCTGGGCCCGGCCGGGCCTCAGTTCATGAAAGGGGAGGCCCGGAACCAGCCCGGGTAACCCCTGGGTCCGGGCCGAGCCGGGCCTCGATTCATGTAATTTTTTTTTTGGCTTTTCCTAATTAACCCCCAACCCTCCCCCCTCACCCCCAAACCACTCCAAACTAGGTATGGACTCGGGCCGGGTGGCCCGACCCGGAACCGGCCCGAGACAGGTACTGTTCCGGCCCGGCCCGACCCGATGGCCCGGTCAGTGACCGGTCCGGGTAGGCCCGGCCCATGGGTTTTCCAGTCCGGGCTCGGGTCACCCAAACAAGGCCCGACCCGGTCGGGCCAAAAACTATTTTTTTTCAATTTTTTTTAAATTTTCGTGTTGGGCTGGGTATTTTGGACCATTTGGGGTGGTTTGGGGGGTTGGGGGTGGGAGGGGGGTTAATCAGGAAGAGGAAAACAAAAAAAAAATTATAATGGGCCCGGCCCGGACCCGGTGGTTACCCGGGCCGATCCCGGATCCACCATTTCTAAACCGCCGGCCCGCCCGAGCCTAGGCCCGACCCGGACCCGGCCCGGACCCGAGTCCATCCCTACTCCAAACCACCTCAAATGGCCCATCATACCCAGCCCAACCCAAAAACTTAAAAAAAATTCAAAAAAAAAGAAAAAAAAAATGGACCGGACCAGGCCTGAACTAGCCGGGTCGGTTCACTATTTAGCAGACTCGGGCCCGAACCGCCTACTTCACCGGGCCATGTGGCCCGAACCGGGCACCAACCGGTTCACCGGGCTGGTCCGAGCCCGCACAGTAGCGGGCTGGTCCGGTTCCGGGCCGGTTGGCCCGGCCCGAGTCCACTCCTAGTTATAAACATGACTAATTACTTGGTCATCAAAGCCATGTTAACAGGCTAATTGGTTAATTATTGATTAGGTACAAAGCCCAAAAGTAACTAAAAATTTTAAAATCCACTTGTATTTAAAAGATTGTGCACGTAGCATGACAAGGCAAGGCAATGGGTCCAATATAGTGCCACCACGTGTTTAGTCATGGCCAAGAAGGTATTTTTAGGGGTGGGATCAGTCCGGGCTGGGTCAGGTTTTTGCTCTACCCGAAAATTATCCGAAACTTCTCGGGTTATGAAAAAATATGACCGGAAAAAAGCCCGACATATTCAGTCCGAGCCAGGTTTTTTGAGGCTCAGGTTCGGTCCGGGTTCGGGTAGGGTCAGTTAAAACCCAATAAAATATATCATTGTTTTTATTAAAAAAAGTATTCAAAAAAATGTTCGGTAATCAATCAAAACAATTTAACCTTCTCACTTTCTATTATAGTCAAAGCAAAAGTATTTAATCAATAATTCAAAGGCTAGAAAGCAATGATATTTCAAGCACAAAGAAAGTATTGATCCAAAACACTCATGAAGAGCCAAACATAAATACTAGCAAAATCCCAACAGCAAAAATTCAGACTAAAGAGAACAAAGTTCTAACAAAATGATGTTTCTTTTTAAGATGGATTAAAAAACAAAGCAAATTAGAAGACTCCAAGTGAGTATTTGGACTTGTTTCCATAGAATATCTTAGTTTTTTATAATAAATTATAATGAAATATTCGAGTCAGGTTTTGGCCGGTCCGGTCCGGTTTGTAATTTTTAGGGACCGGATTTGGGCCCGGAATTTCAGGTTCAGTCTGGGTTTTTTTAACCAACCCGTCAAAAATAAAAATAAAAACCAGCTTGGTAACATTTTTCGGTCCGAGCCCGGGTCAGTTTTCGGGTTTCGGTACGGTTTTTCCCACCCCTAGGTATTTTGTGGCAAATGGCCTTCACATCATCTAGATCTAGGCGCCATATTGTGTCATCCACAAATGCAAAACTATGACCATTTCATCAAACTCAGAAGAGCTTTCTTCAACAAAAACTCAGAATAGCTAAAAAGCAAGTTCTTTAGTTTATTCAAAATGATTGCAAGTACAAAATACAAAGCGGCTGACTTGAAAACCAAATAATGAATAACCAAACTATAACCGAAGAATAGGTTCATAAAAGACAAAGGTACCGACCCACCCCAAACAATTCCATATTTCCATTCAGCGATATAATGATGCTCTTGCCAACTGCCAACCCAGTATATAATGAAATGAGGCTTACAAAACAAAGGGTGTCAAGGACTATTGATCGTGTGGGTGGTCAAATGAATTAAGGTGAGAAAATCTGAGCCATCCAACCTAGCCCAACTTGACGTTGTAGGGTCCAACAAGACAGAAATGAAAACTTACAAAAAAACATCTACTTTCTGAATTTCTATCTCATGTGTATAGGGTCACTTTCAGTCCAGGTATTTAGGTTTTCTAAAAAAAGGATAACACCCCATACGTGAGGGCCCCCAACCCCGACCGGACGATTAGTTGGTAGTATGTAAGTTGGACTATAATCTCAATCTGACAGATAGAGAGTGGAGCTCTATACCCGCTACTTGAAGAGGCCTATGCATTTTTTAGCATACTAACCTCTCATCGCAGTTGCCGGGATTCGAACCCGGGACCCTTGTGTCACTCCCTGGGTACCAGTTGAGCTACGCCCGGTGGTGTTTAGGTTTTCTGCATTTTGATGCATGACTGTGAATTTCAAACATTTAAGGTCCTTCTCCAGTGAAAAATCAATAAGAAATTATACAATTGACAGTATAACTGATCGGGAGGACCATAAATGGCAAGAAATACATAATCACACACCAAAAGTGAGATGAAAGCAAAACAGTCACCACTAACGAGATTGTCATAGTGGCAGTGGGATATAACTGGACTATTTTCAAAAATTATACTCCATAACAATGATGAGCTTCAAGAGGACATAACAAACCAGCTAGTCGGTGTTTTTATACTTTGGGGGGGTGAATTGTGCTAGATCCAGAAACTGATGAGATTTCACTCTCTTGAGATTCAACAAGCTTGCGGAGCTGCTCTTGAAGAGCACGAACCCTGTCTTCTTTTCTGCGGAGTTTCATACCTCTATATACAAGCCAAAGCCCAAAGCCCCCATATACAGCTATATATGAACCCCATACATAAGGGTATGTTTCTGCATTCTCCTTTATCTTGTTATACTGTTCTTGAATCTTTCCCACCAAACTACCATTGGACAATCCTGTCCCTTGCATCTCCCCTGTTCTCGATTGCTCATCATCTTTTCCTTTTTGCGTATTATCCATAATGTTACAGCTTAAGTAGCTTTGCTATACCAGGAAGTAACAACTCTAGAACCAACTGCAAACAAAATGTTATATTCCATTAGCAATATCTGCAAACTGAGGAAATTCAAAGTCAAGATTTCACTTAATGGAACTAGAGATTTTACTTTGAGTTGCACTTGGTAGCAAAAGAGTGGCTGACTAAGCAAAACAAGTAGCTTTTTAGTTGTTTATTTAGGTTGCAAACTTGCAATGGATGTTACCCAAGGGAGTATGTCTTTCCTTTCAAAAAAATCAGATGATTTGGCCATTTTAGCTGAATAACCATTACCAAAAACGTTCTCGACAATACAAAAAATGCCTTCATTAATCAATAATCAAATGGTTATAAAAATCAAACCGCACCATATGAAAATGGAAGAAACAATCACCAACATACATGAATCCACCACACTACACATATACTGCTCACAAAAAGAGGTAGCGGGAGACGAGAGTAGAGACATGAACTCCATATGAGTATAAAAAGAGTGCTCAATTTCATAAATCCGCAATTAGGGGGAATCGGCCTTCCGATTTTGTTAAATACAAGCATTTTAAAAAATCAAATTCTTACCGAAAGGGAAGGATTGATCGAGTGGCGTATAGTTGACCGGATACGCGGTCAAAGATCTCGAACACCGCCAATATAAGTATGGCTTCTTCGGTGGTGTTAGTTGTCGGAAGAGGCTGAGCATGGGCGTCTGGAAGCCGGTGAATTGCCGTGTTTGTGGCGTCAGGCTGCACCAAGCGAGTCGGGGAGGAATTCAGCAGAAGGGAAGCTGGACACTCGTCTTAGGGCTAATATTTGGTATTTCTGTCATTTCAAAAGACCGGTTTATACTATCTCCTCTACTAATTAAATACTCTCTTCCGTTCTCAATTCAATTGCAAACTTTGATCGACATAAAAATTAAGAAATGATGCTTGTTTTTTACATTTTTACCCATTTTTCTAAAAGTAGATGTCTTTAAGTTAATAAGAATAAATTTGTCACTTTATTCTTATTTACATACCTAAAATAGAAAGTGGAAAACCATTTTGGGACAACCAAAAAATGAAATTTTGCAAATCAAATTGGGACGAAGGGAGTATTACGTAAATAAATACTCCGTAAATTTTAATTTTTGAAAACTACTCTCTTTGTCCAACTAACAATGGGACAAAAGAGTGGCATGCAAATCAATAAAAAGTTGTTTATATGGTTAATATTAAATTGATAAAGTAAGAATGATTTAAAGTCACACAATTTTTATCAAACTTGTTATGGGCCAATCTTAGTGGGACGGACTGAAAAAGTAAAATAGGACAATTTTAACGGAACGGAGAGAGTAGTATTATTACAATGTGCTTAAATACTAGCAAGTGTTGCTCAATATAATCATATATGGTACCTAAAAAGAATGGGTGGTGACAGAATAAATTTAAGATGCTCACATCACAATTCGATCTAAAATTGATTCAATGTTACAGACGACTCAATTTGGTAACTCTCCAGCTTGATCAAGGACTGGACACTAACACCATCTTTTCAATTCTCAAAGTGAACTTTCCATTATTGTAAAATGTTTCATAGAATCCAGGAGGGTATTTTGTACATGTGTATTTAATGTCCTCGTGTAATTTTTTGTTTGCTATTGATAATACCTCGTAAATGACAACCGAGAGTCTGAGACTTGCCTCATTTATTTTTTTGGTTTACCTTTTGCATTAAAAAAATATGAACTTTAGATTCTAATAGTGATGACGGTGACGATGACAGTTGTAGGTTTCATGCATAACAACAATTGGTGGGTCTCTAGGCAACGACAATGACGGCTAGTTTATACTTTTTATAGAGTTATTGAGGTATTATGATCTTATTATAAAATAAGTGTTATTATTAAATGAAAGAAGATTGTGTATTTTAGACTTTAATTGGGTAATTTTATCAAGAAAATGATTGTTGTAAAGCTGACACGTATGACCATTTTCCGTAAGCGTAATCTACAGTGTCATTGAGGAAGTATGTGATCTCTAATATACCTATAATACGAGTTTATATTTTGAATTAGTAGAGATTTTTTTTGAACGAAAGTGACTTATATTAAAACAACAAAACGTAACCAGGATACAAAGTGGGGAGTAGCAGGTCACACGGCCGCCGCCTAAGTTTGCCGGCAGCCACCTTCACTCCTCTTCCTACAATTCGTTGCTCAATCTTCTTTCTTCACTCTTCTCCAGATGATGTTGTAACAAACGGTGGTCTACTCCTAGCACTGTCTAGGTTTTTTGGGGTGGCTTGTTCACCGTTTAATTGGCTATGAAATTCCCAGGCGATATAGGTGATTTGTGTGCTTTGCTATATTTTGCGTGTCTCATTTCCTATCTTCTTTTCTGACTCATCCTCTCTGAGTATCATAGGTCGAGAATGAATGTTGTGTCGTGGAATTGCCGTGGGCTCAGAAACTTGACTATTGTACAAGTGTTGGTTGATTTGGTAGGGGAGAAGAAACTGATGGTGTTTTTTCTGCTGGAAACTAAAGCCCAACGGCAGAGGTGTGAAGATGTGAGCCGAACTTTGGGTTTCCTTAACCGCTACTCGGTGGATAGCCTGGGGTTGAGCGGCGGACTGTGCCTACTGTGGAGGAATGATATTAATTTGCGGGTAATCTCTTTAGCTAGAAATTTCAATGATTGTTTTGTGAAGGTCGAAAATGTGGATGCTGAATGGTGCTTCATGGGCTATTATGGGTACCCTGAACGGGGAAGACGAAAGGATTCATGGAACTTGACTTGAAGCTCATCTCGGCAGCCACCTAAACACTGGCTCTTGATGGGAGATTTCAACGATATCATGTTTGAGGGGGAGCGGAGGGGTCACCTTCCCCAACCAAACTGGTTGGTAAAGGGCTTTCGTGAAGCAGTCTAGGGTAGTGACCTACGTAATGTTCACTTTGATGATTACCAATGGACATGGGAGCGTGGAAGGGGCATGAACTGGTGGCTGGAGGAAAAGCTTGACCGAATTTTAGCAAATGAGGGGTGGCTCGACTTGTTTAATGAGATAAATGCATGTTCACCTGAGGACCCTTCTAGTGGCCATCTTATGCTTTTCTTGAAATTTAGTGTTTTAGGGAAACGAGGATGGCAGAGAACGTTCAAATTTGAAAATGTTTGGGTTCAAGAAGAGGAATGCCAAGTAGTTTTGGACCAAAGTTGGAGTGGATGGTCTCGGTAGGGAATTTGGCAACGGATTACAAGTTGTACTCTGGAACTTGAGGTGTGGAGCAAAAGGCGCAAATGGGGTTTTCAAGCTCAAATATAATCCTGCAGAAAACGGCTTGCTCAGATCAGGAGGTTGGGGGTTCATGAGAGTGCAGCTTAATTTTGGAGAATTAAAGTGAATTCAGTGAACCTCCTTCACCAGCAAAATATATTTTGAAACAACGTGCTAAGGAATTTTGGCTGAAAGAGGGTGATATAAACTCTAAATATTTTCACAATGCGGTTAAACAAAGACGGGGAAGGAATAGAATGGTGGGATTGAAGGTTGGAGATGGGGAATGGATCACAAGCAGAGGGAAGCATGGTACCATGGTGGTTGATCATTTTTCATCCTTGTTTGCCGCAGATAGTAGTAGTGTGGCAGATTTCCAGCTCTCAGGGCTATCGACGGTGGAGGCACATTTCAATAGAATGTTGGTTCAACCTATTACTGTAAATGAAGTGAGGAAGGTTGTTTTCTCCATGCATGCTGATAAACCACCTAGCCCGGATGACCTGAATCACAGTTTCTTCCAGCACTATTGGGACATTGTGGGGCCCGAAGTGGTGAAATTTTGCCAGAAAGTTCTATCGGAAGGAAAGCTCCCACATGAGGTAAATATTACAAATATTACTTTAATCGTGAAAAAAGATAAGCCTGAGAATTTAGGTGATTGGAGACCTATTGCTCTTTGCGCAGTTATTTATAAAAAATTTGTGAAGGTTTTGGCTAATCGCTTGAAAGGAATTTTACATAAATTGATCTCAGTTTATCAAAGCGCTTTTATACCGGGAAGATCAATTATGATATGTGATGATTGTTTTTTAAACTCATCATTATCTGAAGAGGAAAAGCCAGGGGAAAGATGGGTTTGTAGTCCTTAAACTGGATATGAGTAAAGCGTATGATCGTGTCAGTTGGACCTTTTTATTTAAGGTTATGGAAATCATGAATTTTTCGGCACAATGGGTTAATTTAATTAAGGAGTGTGTGTCTTCTGTTGAATATTTAATTTCTTTTGATGGCTCAGTGTTGGGTCTGTTGACTCCACAACGGGTGCTTCGGCAGGGGGACCCCCTGTCCCCTTACCTTTTTATCCTGGTTGTGGAAGGTTAAAGTCTTTAATTCGTCAGCTTGAGAGTTTGGGTAGAATTAATGGTATTTCTGTCACGCGTGGCGCGCCTGAAGTTTCACACATGTTTTTTGCGGATGATAGCTATCTTTTTTTTCGAGCTAGCCACAAAGAGAGTGGGTGGTTAAAGATATTTTGCATACTTATGAGGTTACATTAGGTCAACGAATTAATTTTAATAAATCCTCTATTTTGTTTAGCCCAAATGTGCCAGAATCTACTAGATTATCCATGTGCAGTCTATTGGGGTTGAAAAAGAAGGGGATAATCCTTGCTACCTTGGACTATCTTCCCTGATCGGAAGACGTAAGACTGAGATCTTGGGCTATCTAAAAGAACGAATTCTGAAAAGGGTGCAAAGCTGGAATAATAAATTTTTATCTAAAGCTCACAGGAAAGTCCTTTTGAAAACGGTTGTTCAGGCTATGTCGTCCTATGTGATGAATGCTTTCATATTGACGCGGGATTTTAGCGCAGCGATTGAGAGGATTATGAATGGGTATTGGTGGAGAGGAAAGGAGATGGCGGGAAAAGGAATACAGTGGAATAAATGGAGGGCTATGTGTTTTCCAAAACAGAATAGAGGGATAGGATTTAGATCCATTCGTGATCGAGTTTAATATTGCTATGCTTGGTAAACAAGCTTGGAGGCTAACCGATACTAATTCTTTAGTAGGGAAAATTTATTAAGCCATGTATTTCCCAAACTCTTCCTTTCTTGATGCTAATATGGGATCTAACCCTTCTTTTATTTGGAGGAGTATCCTGGAGGCTCAAAGTGTTATTAGGGAGGGAACTCGAAGGCGTGTTGGAAATGGTGTTGACATCTCCTTCTTCTCCTCCTCCTCCTCTCGTGGAGTTCCTTCTTTGCGCTGACCACCCGCAGGTTTGCAACTTACTCCATATTTCATTTTCTCTTTCTTTCTTCTTTCATTTTCTCTTCCTTTGTTTCTTTCTTTCCTGTTCTCATTCTCTCTTTTCCCCCTGCTGCGCCGGATGACTCCTTTGTTGAGTTTGAACCTGCAGGTTTGGATGCCCGTGTTGGATGACGAGACAGAGCCGGGCGACGCTTTCTTTATCCATCTCCATGTTCGCTTCCTTTTTCTCTGGTTTTCTGCTCACCGATTCATTGTTCTCCGACGCGTTCGTAATTAAACTTCACCAACCGCCGCCAAATATCCAACTGGCATCATCTTGGCTGGTGCAAAATCCGAGCTTCACAACATCGACCGACAACGACACCCAATCTTGAAGGGGGAGATCGAGTCGCAGGAGATGAGAAAGGAAGAAACTGACATGAGCGAAAGGAGCGGATCATGCATGGAGAAAGAAGAAAGAAAAGAAGATAGAAAGAAACTCGAAAAGAAAAAGAAAAGAAAAAATAAAAATTTTGGAAAAATAGTAATGGACTTTGACACATGTGTGTAACTAGATACCGGTTGGCAACTCGCTACCAAGCTAATTTGGTTATTTTTTAACACTTCGGTGACTTGATTGATTGATTTAAAATTATAAGTACTCAATTGACTTTTAAACAATAGTGTAAAATCTACTCCCTCCGGTCCTTAATTAACTTTACATTTTCCTTTTTGGTTCGTACCATATTAAACTTTACACTTCCTTATTTACCTTATTTGGCAAACAAATCTACACCAAACAGTGCAAAACAGTGCCAAACAGTGTTAAACAGTGCCAAACAGTGTCAAACAGTAAAGTCAAATTTATTTCCTTAATATGTGTGAAATCAAAGTGTAAAGTTTAATAAGGACCGGAGGGAGTATTTGCCTATTTGGCAGTTTTACCTTTTTTAGAGCTGCGCGTCAGAGATAAAAAGACGTCACAAGTTGTGAGTGAGTTTTCAATTATATGCCTTATAATTAGCCAAACATTGTTAGGGAGTGTACAAAATAAACATTTTTTTTTATTTTACATGAAAATGTGAAATTGATGTTTACTTAAATTAAACACTTTAAAGCAAAAAGCGAGTGAATGTGTGTTTTAAACTGCTTTACATTTTTCTATTACACCTAAAGTAATTTGTTAATTACAGACTATTGATTTTTACTTCTTTGAAAATCAGTTTTTGTAAACACTATTAACTTTTAGTACGTATATTGAACACTCCCTAAAATCACTTCGAAACCATTTGAATAATAGAAGCAATGAAAAATACTCATTTGCCAATATAAATAATTGCTTCAGCCTACTAGGCTACTACTCAATCCATCTCGCTAAGATTTTCCATATTTCCCTTTTTAGCCATCCCCGTAAGATTATCACCTACCAAAATTGATAATCTTTATGTGGTTTTTAAACTGTTCTTACTTTTTTAAACTCTATCAATATAATTCAATATCAACTATATAAACTCAATTTCTCAATAGTCGCACCACCTTTTTTGTACCAATGTTAGGGGGACAGAAGTAGTACTCCCTCCGTCCCATAAAATAAGTCTCATTTCAATTTGGATCAGAGTTTAAGAAAGTGAGAATAAAGTGGAAATGTATGGTTGTGGTTGAGTAAGAAAAAGGTAAATGAATGTTAGCCACACAAAACTTTCCAAAAAGGGAAATGAGAACAATTTTTTGGGACGGCCCAAAAAGGAAAATGGGACTTATTTTATGGGACGAAGGGAGTACTATTTAAGAAGATTTATCCAACCAGGACCAAGACAATGTCAGTTTTCTAAAATAGGATCTAGTGGTTTAAAATGTCATAAATAAGACTTTTTATTTGTGATTGGACAAAAAATACCCTTATAGGGTTAGAGCTGCTCCCTTAGCTCACCGAATTGCCGCATGTCACCGTTGATCGTCAGACCGCCCCCTCCAGGCACAGTAATTTTTGCTCTGGTCACCACTGCCGATAGGCCAAATTTTGGCCACCGCCGCCAAACTACCTCCACTATCAGACTGATCTGACACTAATGGACTGACCTTGATGATGATAAGGAACTCGTGGGCAACTAATTGGGTTAATTAATTAACTAAGTTATGGGTAGATATATAAATATAATGTCTAGTCCTCTTTACGAAAAATCATACATATGTTTTTATTTTTGAAAAAATGCTACTCCTTCCACCCCAAATCAAATTCTTCTATTCTTTTTAGATGTCTCAGCTAAATGTTCATATTTCTATCTTAGAAAATAATTAAAACTCTTAAAAGACAATTTATTTATCAAATAATAATAATACAACTATAATATACTTATCACGTGATCTTTCAAGATATATTTGAATCACATTATTAAATTGTTGTATAAATAATCATTTGATTTGTTGTGAGAATCTTTAGCCAAAACCAACAAAAAAATTATTGGTGCGAAAAATAATTCTATTTCACCAAAAAGGTTGTACGGAAAATTTGTATTCCCTTCGTAACACTCATATCTTCCCACTTTCCTTTTGTAGATGTAACATTCATATCTTCCTATTTCTAAATCTTCCTATCATACCTTCAATAATTTCAAAAATAATACACTATTACAACTACTTTTTTTGATTTTATTCTTGAAATTAGCACACTATTTCATCATCTTCCTATCCTACTCTCAATAATTTATATCTCCTACCCGCACGGGTAGCTCAGTTGGTCGAGTGGTGGGAGATTTGGAACAATGGACCAATGTTCGAATCCCCGCAACGACCGGGTGGAGGTCACAGAACCTGAAATAAGGCTGAGCCTCTGGTGCGCACGGGTGTATGGGCCTACTGTCATTCTGCTGACTGAATCACCGTGACTAACCTCCCTACCATCCTGTCGGGTCGGGGTGGGGGGCTCCTGGGGTGGGAGATTCCACCTTTTGGAACAATAATTTATATCTCCTTTCACTATTCTTAATCTCAACTACTTTTCAAATGGAAGATATATGTAGGGAGGTAGTACCAAACAACATTGAGTTTTGATAGGAGTACCCCAAAATGTACCCCATTTTTACCCCAACCCCTAATTTGTGGCCATAAATGGACCAACTCATTTAAGTGTTGCTCCACTTAAATGAATTGTCCCATTTAGGGCCACATATTAGGGGGTTGAGGTAAAAATGGGGTACATTTTGGGGTACATTTAGCATTTGTGAACAACATTTCCCTCGTTTGAAACGTGTGGTTGGCGTGATCCCTCCAAGCGGCAGGATCATTGACGAATACCAACATGACAGGACTGTCCAAAGTTGACTCACCAATCCGCCGACACCAAAGGAATGTGTTGACACCCCATGCTTGAGGGCCCCCAAGCATATAATATCTCTACTTTCTGCTGCTGAGTTGCTTTCAAAAACCCCTCGACTTTGATCAGCAGACGCGCCAATTGTCTGAGTTGGAGATAGACTTCGCCACTCGTCCCCTCTCCTTCCTACCCTGCTGAACTCCGTTTTGTAGCTCATTCCTGCTGAAGCGTCCCTTCGGAGCTCAATTTGGGCGAACCGGAGCAGAGAGCTTTCACTTTACATAATTGAAACTCTGCTGCTTAGAATTATGGCAGGATCAGGTAATAAATTACAGAGTATTTCACTTTTACCTTTCCGCTTAACTACTGTATTCTCATAGCTTTCAGCATTTGGATTATTTACGATGCCTCAATTGGTTTGTTTTTGGACAATTTGCTTTTCTTATCTAGTTTATGGGAATTGCTTCTAGGTTTGGATTGTGTCAAGCATATTATAGTGTCTGGAAGCTGGAATGAGAGTTGGGCATTGGAAATGTTCACTCTTGATTTTATGCCATCATAGGATTGCCTTACAATCATTATTCTATACACATTTCAGGATTTAATTATGATGATTTAGTTCGAGAAGCTAAAAATAGGTGGCTGAAACCAGCTGAAGTGCTATCCATACTACAGAATCATGAGAACCTCCAGATCACCCGTGTGACGCCTGAAAAACCTCCGAGTAATGTTCTATATTTCTTTCTACTATAGTTTTCGAACTTCTTATTCTTAATTGTGGTCATGTATCTGTTAATTCTTTACTTCATTGTGGATATCAGTGTTAGTCACTTAGTTCTTCCTTAACTATGTATGTCACCATGTATTGCTATTAACAGGTGGGTCTTTGCTCCTTTTCAACAAGAGAGTACTTAGATATTTCCGTAACGATGGTCATAAGTGGCAAAGGAAGAAAGACGGGAGATCCGGAGGAGAAGGCCATGAAAGGCTCAAGGTAAATATTGGGACTTTTGGCTTCTAAACGTTTGTAAGCAATTAGTGATATATTTCATTGAATTATCCACGGACTAGGGTTCTTTGTTATCGTGTTGTATTGCTATTTAACAACGCATTTTTGTACAAATTGACCAAGTCTGGTTCATATAACATATTTCATGGAGGGGTTTTATTTGACGTTTTCATTTTGGCTAGTTAGGAAATGTTGAAGCTCTGAAAAGTTATTATGCTCTCCAAACCAAGTCTGGTTCATGCTACCTCCGTCCCAAAAAACTTTGCCATCTTTAATACTTTGACCAACTATATATTTTTATTGGAAATTATTTATAATATAAAAATGATATGAAAAATGTTCTTTGTTAAAAGTACTTTCATAAAAAGTAAAAAATTTATAATTTCCATAATATTATACTAATCGAAATAAAGGTCCAAATTTTATGAAATGACAAAGATTCTTTGACGTGGCATGCCTATTAAGAAAGTCAGAAAATGTGGAAATGTATGGTTGTGGTTGAGTAACAAAAAAGTAAATGAATGTTAGCCACACAAACTTTTCCAAAAAGAGGGAAATGAGAAGAATTTTTTGGTACATCCCAAAATGGTAAGTGGGAAGAATTTTTAGGAAGGAGTTAGTATTTGATGGAGGGGTTTTATTTGACGTTTTCATTTTGGCTAGGTAGGAAATGTCGAAGCTCTGAATTGTTATTATGCACGTGGAGAGCACAATCCAAAATTTCAAAGGCGCTGCTTTTGGATGTTAGATCCGTGAGTTTACTCGTTTAATCTTTGATAGTACGTATAAACTATTTCTGCACATCATCACTAGAGGGCACACAAGGTTGATTAAAGATTTCAGTATTTTTGTTTTGTAATACATTCTATAGATTATTCAAATGAATTTAGTGGCTTTACATGTTCATTCCTGGGTTCATCTGAATTTTTATTCATTTATATTTTTGGGACTTTGAACAGGGTATACGAGCATATTGTTTTGGTTCACTACAGAGATACAAATCAGGTTATTATTCATTTACCTTTTTCGGCCAAATCAGCAATCCTGACAACAAAGTACTGACAAATGGCTTCATCAACCAAGACCTTTCCATGTCTAATCTTCTGATCTTCTAGTTTTTAATGAAAAATGTGCAGATTTCAGTGATAGGCATTTGCTATAGCTAATTTTCTAATTGCTCTGTGTGCTGTTATTTTATACATGAAGGACATCAGCTTCTATACTCATTCATCTTTGTATGATAATAATCACCTAATATTTTCACTTAAATTCTAGTAAAGATCAACATAATTGCATACTTTGCAGATAGCTTGAGTGGCAATGAAATTGCATACTTTGCAGATAGTTTGAGTGGTGATGCTTATGCCGTCTGTTTCACTTGTGAATCATAGGGAAAACAGAATGCTCAATCCGTACCACAACATTCTCCAGCATCTTTTACATTCAATCAGAGTCCCAACCCACACTCTATTCAGCTTGCAAGTCCTATAACTGCCATGTGTAAATCTTACGAACCATCCTCTACCTCTGTATCAATGGAGAATTGCTTCTTTGTTGACACTAATAGCTACGGGATAAATCAGTCAAGTGACACAGTGGAAGAGGATAGTAGCTCATCGGTGCTTGAAATTAGTCACACATTGAGAAGGTCTGACGTGCAGTTAAGTATGAAAGATGACAGCATGAATAACAATGAGCCCCTCTACAACCATATAGAATACTCAGCTGGCATCGGCAATATTCAAGATGATTATAGCTTACTTGATGAGATGACGAATGATTCAAACATTGGTCTGTTGCATAGACATTCAGGTTATACATTTTTTCTATCTATATCTCATAGATGTTGAAAATTCATGTAGCGCGTACTTGTATCTTAGCCTTTAATTAGACGTTGGAAGAGCATATATTTTGAGGATAAAGAAGTATAGTAGAGAGTAAGGGAGAAGAAAATTTTGATATGAAAATTAGTAGATTTTCAAGTTGTTAGCTATGTTGCACGGAAACGAAAAAATCACGATGAAAGGGGAAACGGGAAACGTCAACTTTTGCTCAAAAAAGGTTTGTTTGGAGAGTTTCCAAAGAGTTTCCATAGGGTTTACGAAACGGGAACGTACTCTTTCCTGAGAGTTTCCGTGCTACATAGGTTGTTAGTAGTCCCCATCCCTATCACCCCTCTCTTGATAAGCAGATGAAAAGCTGGTTTTCCCTTGCCAGTTGCCACTTCTTTCATTCCAAGTTCTAACCAAACAATGGGTTAATTCAGATCTCTTAAAAACACTAGCATATCTAATCACTAGTTTCCTGTCGCGTCAATGATTTGTATTGTCCTTGTTTAATAATATAAGGAGCTCTGATGACATTTAGAGGAAATACTTTTATCGAGAATCTGCAGCTAATGCCTATGCATCGTAGGGGACCTATCTGATAATCTGTGTACCCGACAATCCCGACATGAAGTTAATCGAAGGAAAGACATGATTGCTGCTTATGGAAGTTCTGTGGATGGAGAATGTATCTGTAAGGACGATATGGTGCGAGCAATTTGATGCAATTAAATTTTCTTTTCTTTGAAGTATTTATGAGTGAAATGGACGCATGAAATCTAATCCCTACTTTTTCTATTAAATTAGGATTTAGGAATTCAAAATTTACCTTCGTGTGACTGAATTTATTGTCCATCTTTTGCATACACCTACTACATTGTGATAGATCACTCCGCTTTTAAGGGATCCACTTGAAATGCCCGAAAGCATCACATGGCAAGCTTTTCGCGGAGAAGAGGACCAGAACTGTAAGATCTCTTTTAGCATCTGGTGTGTTTTATATTGAAGTATTCATTTCTGATGAATGTCCAAAAATATGAAATGTGATATGACACTACAGGTTCCATAGGAATTCCTCAACAAGTTGAAGATTTCAGATATCCTACATATTCGCCAGCAATAAATATTCATGTAACTAAACCTGAAAGTTTTGGGACATCGTTTGACCAAAATCAGCATGGAGCTTATTTTGGAGATAACACATGCTTAAATGCTTCCCAAACGCAGAAATTTAGAATTACTGCTGTATCTCCTGAGTGGGGATACACCGATGAGACTACAAAGGTAACTTTTTTAACACATCTGCATGATGTTGGCTGTTATCATGTTGGACCTGTTACATTTAAATTTACTTGTTTGTCCCTTTGAAATGCTACCTGCATATGTCAATAAAATTACCTTTAATCTGTCTGAAAAGTCTTTAGGGTTTAACAAGGGACACTAAAACTTTATTGATTTATTTATTTGGGGGTAAAGACGGGGTTGAAGTATATGGCTCACAAAAGAGTGGAAGATGATGATCTGTCTAGATGATCCCTTAGCTTATCTAGATGATCTTGTTGTTAATAAGTCTCTATAGGTGTGTTTGAATTAAGAAGTTTGGAGGGCTTAGTCTATATCAAAAAGTCAATAAAAGGTGATTGAAATGCTATTGGTGACACCATAAGTTAATCTTTCATTTTGTGGGATCTCGAATACATATAAGAAATAGACCATTCCTTTATGTCTTCCATCCAAACAGAGCGCAAGTCTAAAATTTCACATTAAATTAGTCAATCAGCTCATGTTCCTTCCTGAACAAGCCAAAGTGCATCTTGTATGCTGTTGTTTGATGGTCAATCTCAGTTCCATGGAGCCAGATGTTAAATAGTTGAAGATCATTAACACAGGTTATCATTACGGGATCTTTTTCTTGTGATCCATCAGTGTGTGAATGCATGTGTATGTTTGGGAACACTGAAGTTCCTGTCCAGATCATTCAAGATGGCGTCTTCTGTTGCCTTGCTCCCCCACACCTGCCGGGCAAAGTAGCTATATGCATAACCATGGGTGACCGAGAATCACACAGTGAGGTCAAGGATTTTGAGTACAGAGTCAAGCACACTGGTAGTGCCACTGAAAGCTCTGTACCCGAAACACAGTCCACTAGCAAGAGCACTGAAGAATTATTGTTGCTTGTCAGATTTGCAAAGATGCTTCTGTGTAGTAAGTCAACAAGGTGCAATGTAGGCATTCCCGAATCACGAAATGACAGTTCGGAAAAAGCCAAAGCAAGTGAAGATTTATGGACTGAAGTGATAGAGGGCATTTTAGTGGGAAATTTGACATCAAACCTCACAATTGATTGGCTTCTCGAGGAACTATTGAAAGACAGCTTGCATCATTGGCTTTATTCCAAATTGCAAGGAAAAACTAAACTCTTGGATTCCGACTGTGTCTTGTCCAGGAGTGAACAAGGGGTAATACACATGGTTGCTGGGTTGGGATTTGAGTGGGCATTACGCCCTCTTTTAGATGCCGGAGTAGCAGTTGATTTCCGTGGCATAAATGGTTCAACTGCTCTGCATTGGGCTGCACGTTTTGGGAGGTAAGTAACGGCCTTTGCTTCTTTGGAAAATATATACTTTTATTTGCTTAACTTGGAAGGATACTTTTATTTGCTTGTTTTGGGTATATTTTGATCATGGAAAACTCTATTGAAAGGTGAAAAATGCAAAGGAAAGGCATTTTCTTGTGAAAGAAAAATGATTATTTTTATTAATATTTTTAAAACTTTAATATGTTTAGTTATTAGTCATTAAACAATACTGTAAAACACTACAACCAGAGAGATAAAATGTGTTCAAAAAAAATTCAAACAGTTCAAAGCTTGAATCAACGTTTTAATTTCCCCATAGGTTTTAGGGAAATTTCCTAAAATAGGAGTAAAAAAATAAGAGTGCTATATTTTTTTCCCTAAATAGGAGTAAGTTACTGTCATGCTGAAATCATACTGTGAATTTGCCATATTTTGGCATTAGTAGACATTAATATGGCAATATTAATGCCATAATTAGCTGTATTTTTCAATCATGACAGTAATAACTTCTATTTAGGGAGAAACGTAATACAACCAAGCATTCCAGCCCAGCTGGTTGTGAGGTTACCGTGCTTAGTGGGAGGTCTCGAGTTCGAAACCCGCTAGGCACATAAGGGTTTGAAACTCAATGGAGTGAGTTTCAGCCCTCATTACCTCAGGCCCCCCTCCCCCCCTCCCCCGACCCCCCTGGAGTAAAAAAAAAGGGAGAAACGTAATACCATTATTTTGAAATTTCACAGTTTTTTCTCCTATTTAGGGCAATTTATGTAGATTTATGTTCTTTAAATTATCCCTTATATTGCTTTATTTTCCTTAGATTTTTCATGTTCCAACTGATTCCAAATAACTGATGATTGTACTGCACTTTTTAATTGAGGGCTGGCTTACCTCCTGCAACCTTCTCCCTCATACTACCCTGTCAGAGATCTCTGCCATCCATCTGAGTCCTATTAGGAGATAAATGGTGGAGATCTCTTGAAAGAGAAATAGGAAGGAGAAGATAATGTGTTAGGTATACGGAAATTTGACGGTAAATAGAAGTAGATTAAGATGAAATTGATGAAACTGAAAGAGAAAGATACACTGGAGACACTTCGAGTAGTCTCCCGCACTCCCAAGACCCAAGTCCCCAACTAATTTCTGCCTACCTTCTCCCTCTTCTACTCCCTCTATTTATTCTTTTCCAAATGAGGCTTCCCTCAATCTATTTAATTACTTGGCCCAGCCCACTATTACATTTTATTAAAATATTAAGCCCATAAGTCTAGGTCTCTATCATCACTCCCCCCTTTGACAACCACCTTGTCCTCAAGGTGGGGAGTAAGAGCAGCCATGCCATGCAGCTTCTTCCTCGTGCCCCTTCCTTCCCAGTACCTCACCGATTTCAGTGCCTTTAGCTTCGGTACTTGAACCTTCAAAATCACAGATGTCTGTCGCAGAAGTTATATCTGGAGAAGTTTCATTCTCTTCAGTCGTCTTCAAGCCTTCAATAGCAACAAATGTTTCCTTGTGCTGTGCTTTTCTGTCTGTAGCAGTTAACTGCTTTGATATTGCTGCAACCAGTCTTTCCAGAAACCAACCAGCATCCACAGCAATGAGCGTGTCCATGTCTTTGATGAGTTGAAGGAACTTGTGATTATGAAAACTCCAAGTTTTGGCATTCTTCAACCCTGTGTGGACCCTCTGTTCTGTTAACCGCAGAAGAGTAATGATGCAGTCTGCCAACTCCTCCCAGTTATGCACAATTACCGTTGCACACCTTTTGCTGTCAAGAATTCCTTCATTCAAGGCTTTTACAATACGATATTTCTTTAGGCAGGAAATTTTGAATCTTTTAACAACCCCTGTAAGTCCAGATGCTGCTCCTCGGCGCTCCCCATACCGGCCACTTTTCATTAATTTATCTAGAAGCCTCAAAATAAGAACAGGCCCATCCTCCTGTTTTGATTGCATTAGAGGAGAAAGACAGGAGGAAACTGCCCATTGAACAGCTTCAGAAGGAGTGTTCAGTACATCCAGCAACTTTTCAACAACAGCAAGAACCTTTGGATCATCCTTCGCCAAATGCTTTGCCAAGGCACAAGGGAATATAACAACACCTTCACGCACCAAATCATCTCTCCCTTCATCTCTTGCCATTTTGTTCAAGTGATTTTCAAATATTGGGAATAGCAGGGAGACCTTTTTTATTTCCATGCTTGTCAATAATCAGTATACCAGCATTAATCCTTCTTCCCCTAAAATCCACATTTGGATCAGCCAGCGCCCTTGATGTTAGGAATGTCATGACAACAGGAAGATCTTTGGTTCTTAGCACATCAGACACAGAGTGTAAAGCCAATGCAATCCCTTGGCTGCCTATCCAGCCAGCCAATGAAAATAATGTTGATAGCGACTCCTGAATTGAACCAGGCTTATCATCTAAAGCTGCAGTGAAGATTCCTGAATTATCAGTCCCTAATTCATATCCATAGTGATTCCATATGTCCTCTGCAGCTTCAACAACTGTCTCTTCAAGCAAAGCGGGCTTTGAAAGTGAGCTGGCATCGGCCTCAATATTTTCCGCCCCTTCCAGATTATCTGGTGGACGTCCCGTGGGTTGAACATCATCATCGTTCATCTCTATAAGCATGTAATGAATGCCATAGATAGCAGATAATGTGGGTATGTTTGACTCCCCTTTTAATATGGAAGACAATTGTTTGTTCTCCAGCTCCCAGACCATAAGGCCTCCAATATTGTTCCCTCCCATGACTTTCAGCCTACCATTCATGGTTCCAATAGCTGAGAACGGTTGAGCAGGGTGAAAAGGATTCCAGTATATCACATCATTACCAAAGTACTGATTATAATCCACATCATTATGGAACATTTTTGCTAATTGATAAACAACCTGTTGTTATTCTCTCCTTCTTCACACATCCATTCCTTCAAGGTCTTCCTAAATGCAGTAGTAGCTCTTAAGTTGGACTGCCAAGGTATCTGATAGAGACATTAGAGTTATACCAGTGGAATTGCAGTCGCATCTATCAGTATCACAGTTCCTTCTGGAGCTTCATGAACTGCAGCTAGTAGATCAACAACTAACACACCACTTCCAACCCATTCACCCTGTCCATCATATACAGCAAAGAAAGAATTTGAGCTGTCCCTAGTTGGATTGTCCGCATCTCTTGCTACTCTATTAATTCCATTTATAGAAACTGTATGCGAAGTATCTTGAGATTCATTTGCTTGTCCCGTGTCAACAAAGATTTCCTTCTGAACAACTTTTGTAAATCTAGCTGCAGGTATATCAGAACCTTGAGTTCTATCCACCAGAAGCCTCAGTAGTGACCGGACCTCCCACACTACCTATGTAGGTTTCAGAAACCAGCAATTTTGTCATCAACAATTTTGAGTCAGAAACCACTTGGTTCTTCAATTCAGAACCAGCAATTTTGTCATCAGCCGACTCATATTCCAGGGCAGTCGAGGATTGAGTCCCCACAGAAGTTTTCTCCTCCCCTCCCTCATCACCATCGATGAACGCACCTTTGGAGGGAAGTTGTCGCCGACTCACATACGGCTGATGGATCGACGCTGACTCAACTTGCGCATTGTGAGAAGCGGAAATTTGCGATGAAACCTGCGAAGAAGCCAGAAGGTGGATCTGTTCGCGGCGACGCTGGTAGAGCTGTGAACGACGAAGCTTGCGAACTGGTGAACTCTGCTCGATGTGAAGATGGCGAACTGGTAGCAGTTGTCGTCCGCGAAGAAAGAGTATGCGGCTTTGATTGCGAAGAAGTTTGCGATTGCGAACTGTGAGATGAAGTTCTCGAAGAAGCCAGATAACTGGACGGAAGTGCTCGCGGCTGAGATGAGACCTGCGCACGCGACGAGGTCTGCGAACTAAGAAAAACCGTTCGCGATTGCGAACTGGGAAGAGCTACGGTCGAAGCAACCTGATTTTCAGTTGGCCGACGGCGTCTAAGAGGACTCCTCCGGCGATGCTGTTTACACAGATGATGTATCATCTCGTCCAGCATCCTTTCCATCTTCTTGACATGGCATTGGACACTTGACACTTCCGCTATTCTCCATCTGTGCACGCTTAACAGTCCTCCAGTGATCGTTGATGCTCTGATACCAATGTTATGTATACGGAAATTTGGCGGTAAATTGAAGTAGATTAAGATGAAATTGATGAAACTGAAAGAGAAAGATAGACTGGAGACACTTCGAGTAGTCCCCGCACTCCCAAAACCCAAGTCTCCAACTAATTTCTGCCTACCTTCTCCCTCATCTGTTCCCTCATCTGTTCCCTCTATTTATTCTTTTCCAAATTAGGCTTTCCTCAATCTATTTAATTACTTGGCCCAGCCCACTATTACATTTATTAAAATATTAAGCCCATAAGTCCAGGTCTCTGTCATAATGGTAGGGTGTCTATTCTGAAACTGGAATTCATGAAATCCCTATTGATAAGAAATGATTGTTTAATTGATTAATATCCCTTAGTCCTTTTTGTAACAGAGAAAAAGTGGTTGCTGCACTCATAGCATCTGGTGCTTCAGCTGGAGCAGTAACTGATCCCACAAAAATCGATCCTATTGGTCAGAGTCCGGCATCAGTTGCTGCTTCATACGGGCACAAGGGGCTCGCAGGTTATCTTTCAGAAGTGTCACTCACCACTCATCTCTCATCCCTTACATTGGAAGAAAGCAAACTATCAAAAGAAGATGCCAAGGTAGTATTGGAAGCAGAAAGAGCGTTTGGTTTTCAATATGAAACTGATGGCACGATAAATGATGATCAGATTGATCTCAAGGATACACTAGCTGCAGCTAGGAATGCTACTCTAGCTGCTGTACGTATACAAGCTGCCTTTCGTGCACGTTCTTTCAGAAAGAGACAACAGAGAGAAGCTGCTGCTGCTGCTGCTGGTGGAGGTGGAGATGAATTAGTTAACCTCTCCAACAACATTCGTGGTCTTTCAGCTTCATCCGCTCAGCTAAAGTTTCGTACCCCTCGCAATTACACCTCTGCAGCTTTAACTATTCAGAAGAAATACCGAGGGTGGAAAGCGCGGAAGGATTTCCTTGCATTCCGTCAGAAAGTAGTAAAGATACAGGTGCACTTATATTCTTTCAAATCAATATCTGTGGTGTTCCAGAAAATCACACATTGAATCCTCAATTGTTGATATTGTGCAGTCAGCCTGTCATTCTGGTGTTATAAATTTAGTACTTCAATTTTTATGAAGGGGAGCCTTTGCGCTTACGGTGTTGCTGTGTGACTGAGAGGTCACTGTTTCAAGTATTGGGAGCGATCTCTTGTCAAAATAAAAAAGGAAGGCTTGCCCACTAGGCCACTATACACCCTTGTGGTGGGACCCTTCCACGACCCTCGCCTCGCGGGGACTCCAATGTACACCGGGCTGCCCCTTTTTTGTCCTTCAATTGTTATAATTGAGAATTTGAGATGCAATCAGTCCTCTCTGAGATCATAATTTTGTAAGATATATGGGGGCATTCTGGGTGATATAGGATGCCGAGAACGCCCTTGTAAACCCTAATACTTCAGGGTGATTTTAACAGGAACAACTAGTTGACTCTAGAATAATCAAAATAAATCTACAAAAACTGAAAGGCAAGACCCATAATACATCATGTTAAAGAATTGGAGGGTTAAAACAAGAGTCCTCTTTGATAACTTTTTTGACCCATCAAGAGTTCTGTATGAACAAAATATGCTATTTTTCATTATAGTTAATGTATATTTTCCAAATAATAATCCCAAACATGTTAAGTACGCTAAATTTGGTTTAACGAACAAACAAATCGAGAAATATAACTAGAATTGATTATTTCAGTGCTCCTATAGTTGTATGTTACTGAAATTAAAAGGCTGTATCTTGAAAAACATGACCTTGCTGAGACGGAGGTAGAAGGCCATCATTAAACCAGAAACTAAAGCCAACATGATACAGCTGATCTCTTCCCACTGCATTGCCTATCTATATTTCCAGCACCTGCTCGTTCACATGTAAATTGTCTAAATCCTTTTCTTATTGTGACTTCCATGGCAACTGGGCAGGCCCATGTACGAGGCTATCAGGCTAGAAAGGAACTCAAGGTATGTTGGGCAACTGGGGTTCTAGAGAAGATAGTACTCAGGTGGTTCCGGCATAAAGATGGCCTTCGTGGATTCCACCTAGAGATGAGTGAAAGTGATGGTGAAGAGATTCTCAAGGTGTTCCGCAGGCAGAAAGTGGATGCGACAATCGATGAGGCACTAGCTAGAGTTATCTCCATGGTTGAATGTCCAGAGGCACGGCAACAGTATTGTCGCATTCTTGAAAAATATCGGCAAGCTAAGGTAATAAGCAAAACACAATCAGGGGAAGAAAAATAAGAAGGAAAAGTTTGCGCAAAATACAAAATCTTAATCTCTGGTTGGGGGGACTTTGGCGGAAGTGATGGTTGGAATGAAAGTAGAGATGAAAAACTATATACGTACATGATTTAAACTTATGCACACAAACACTACCTTTGTCTCAAGGAATGAGTCATGTTTCATGATAAATCATGAAGACAACTTTTTCATTTTAAAAATGAACAGTTATTTGGCAATTTAACCAAACTAACCTACTTAACTCCTTTGGGACGTTTCTTGAGGTACATAAAAGATGATGGAAACTAGTTTTTGTTGAAATATAACTCTTTTTCATTTTTTTGGAATATTATCTAACTTATTTTGTAGCCTCCACTTTGGAAGGTCAGCAGAATTTTTTAAAATAATTCTTTTGGGACAAATAGAATAGTAATTTGCACTGTAAGAGTAACAAATAGAGATAGCTTGAAAAAATAAAAACCAATGATCTCCATCCTTCTAGTAGTTCAAGATATCCAGCACCTCTATATCACTATATGGTGCCTAAGTTGTGGACCTCGCCTTTCTCTCCAAACCATCTTTTTGCTTCCAGCCTACACACTGACCCTACCATCAATCAAGGGCTGCCCATCTGCGGTCGACTGGCGGTTGCGAACGTGCTACGCATTCTGCCTGACTTTGGTAGTTTGGTGCCACACAGGATTTCAATCCGTATCTCAAGTATTTAACTGCTTTTAACATTTTGGCAGGCTGAGTATCAGACTTAGGGGACTGAGGCAAAAGAATTGGCATATGTATATAGAAAGCCATGCCATGTCCCTGCTATTAATGTAGAATTGGTTCAAATGCGAGAGGGCACCTGCGGTTTATAACTCATGCAAATAGTGGTAACTCATAAGCTTTCAACTTTCAAGCATCAACTTTTTCATTTTCTTGTAATTTGTAGATTGATAATATGCAACAAGCTTGTAAATTCGATATTAGGCTATTAGCTTTTTTAAGAAAGCTTTCCAGCAAGCCTCATTTGTTCAAGGAAGAGAAAAGAGTCGAATAAGGTCTTCTACTATTATGAAATAGTCACATAAGACCATGTACTCAATAAAGTGTCATATAAGTACATCTACTTCTAAAAAGCAATCAAATGAGTCGTAATGACCTATTTAACACCTCTTAATCCCGGTTTCAACGTACTTCTGACCATCTTTTTTGAATACATTATACGACATATGTCGAATATTTAACTAAGATTGTTGAAATACAAGTCAAAAAAATCAACATGTAAGCTAAAATCTGGATTAGGAGGTGTTAAATAAGTCGTTAGGACTCATTTGATTGTTTTATACAAGTAGAGATACTTATATGACACTTTATTGAGTACGTGGCCTTATGCGACTATTTCGTAATAGTAGAAAGCCTTATTTGACCCTTTTCTCTTCAAGGAATAAATAAGCTCAAGCTTATTTAATAAGCTTCATGGAGTAGCTTTGCAAGTACTGTAATTACTTCCTTTGTATCATGTAATTATTTTACAAAGTTCATCATTAATCGTATTTTTACTTTAAAATTATGTTAAACATATCTTTTTATATCATTTTATGTTTTGAGACTAGCTTACCACCTACGTAGTACGTAGTTTTTACCAAACATTAGTTGATATCAAGTTATCAACTAACGCATCAGCTATAACTTATACGTAGTAACGTATTAGCTATGGCCTATGGGCAAGAAATACAACAAAATTGTACACAAGTTGTACACTCCACAATCCACATGTACACTACACATACAACTAAGGCAGTATGCATAACTTGCCTGTGTAACACTTTTTTTTTAAATCTGTCAATTGCCTATGTAGGAGGTAGTGTACAACTTGTGTACAAATATAAATTTTCTATTAGCTATTAACTTTCTATCTTTGATAAAATAATACTCCATCTATCTCAAATTAAGTTGCAAAATTGATCTTTTTTTGTTAAGCGAATTCATTTTATTCACTTAATTAGGATATATATCTTAATTAAACTCTAATTTGGATTTTGCAACTTTAAAAAGATTTTAATGTAGTTTTTGAATATATAAATTGTAATTATTAAAAAATGAACTAATTACCAATGGGGAGGATTTAACTTTAATATTAGTTAACTAAAGTGTTGACTTTGTAAAATAATTTGGAATAGAGGTGGAAAAGTGGTAATATAAACAAAATTTATAAATTATATACAAATACAATAATTAAAATCATTGTTCAAAGTTTGTCATCATTAATCAAGAAAAGTAATGAACCTTTTCGGGACGAGGGATAATTTTATAATTGAAACAACGAATCGAAAGCCAAGTTTCGAACTTTATGAGCAACACTAGTTTACCAAAGCAGACAGACAAGTAGTAAAATAGAGACCAGGAAAGGACTTTTTTTCGAGAGAAAATGACTTCTATTAAAATAATTGCATCCAATTAAAGATCAATTAGACCAGATACAAGAGGCAAGCAAGAACGATCAAAACACATTACTCGTGTTCTGAGACCAAACTCAGACTGTATCACTCACTCAAGAGTAAGTCAATCATGATTGACATCCGACAATGTATTCTCGTCACTTATCATATGGTGTTGTACTTGTCACATACTAAAAGGAAACAAAAAACAAGAGTCACCCAATACTCGGCAGAAATAAATTCCGAACAACTTGAAAAGACAAAAATGATTTTCCAAATTGTCCAAGAATCACGTTCACTCCATGTCGATGGTTCAGGAGGAGACCGGGTCATGTGTTCCACCTCTATCTGTAGCACGCTAGCACCCTACCCCAGTCTTGTGCCTCACAATCGCTCCCTGATTCACTCGGCCCCTCAATCGCAGCGACGTCATCAAAGCTCACCTTCCTGTTTGCAATTGCACGCCATCTCACAGAAGGAACCAGTCCACCAGCCGAGCTCTCCATGAATCATGCATCCTTATCCTCCATACTTCCTATGTTCCCAAATCGCCTGAGTAGATCTCCGTACGCCCAAGTCCAGATCCCCGCACAAATCTTAGCTCTCAATCACAACCAAAAGAACATTCATCATCAACCCCAATTCACCTTCTCCAATCTATCAACGTCAGCCGGGAGAAAACAACTCTTACAAACGAAGAGAACACACCGCCGAGCAAGTAGGCTACAAGCTACCGCCGTAAACAAACCATCTCTTCGATGAGAGAGACGCAGAAGGGAGGCGATATCGCCTAGGGTTTTATAATTTTTGACCTTTAAAAATTCAAAACTCACCAGGAAAGGACTTAAAAAACGTAACATTAATGATAAACGACAAAATTACATGGTCTAAAAATGTTGTCCTAATGGAAGAATACCAACAATTCCAACTTCCAAATCCTCTGTCAATTAAATCTACGTTATTAAGGAATTAAAGATGAAATTCATGCACATGTATTGGGCTATGTCAATCTAATAATTGGTTGAAGAGTGGTCTTCTCCCTAGCTTTCGTCTAGGTTTTGCCTTCTCCCTAGCTTTCGTTTAGGGTTTTTTTTTCGACAGGCGGCTTGCGTACGTTGTTTCTTGTCCGACGAATGATTTGGAGCGACGGTGGGAGGGAGTTCGTTACCACGCTCTGCCTCTTCATGGTCTGCTTCTCTATGGTTGATGCTTCTGGATATACGGCTATGGATCGAATCTGGGGGTTTGTGATTGATACCATCGATTAGAAAATCACCTGTTCAGTTCCGCTCGACTTGACCGTCAGAGGGGGGCGATTGGAATTGTGGTGGGCACGGGGGACAAATGGATGGGCGACTGGATTGGGTCTTGTTTGGATGGATTTCACTTCAGGGTGGAGGCGATTGGGGGTGATCGAGGGAGGCAATTTCTGGATCGATTCCTTAGCCATGGAGAGGACAGATCAGCAGTCCGCCCCCCTCCTGAACTGCCGCCCTGGAGCGATCGAGGTGCTAGAGTTTGGAAGATGATACTTCAAGAATACTGGCATAAAGGAGCTTGAAATATTTATTAGCTATTTTGTTTTTTATGGTCTTACTTTCGCGTTAAGTTTGTTTACGTTGCTCTGTTTTTTGTTGATGTCTTTAGTTTTAGGTCTAAAATAATGATTAGTAATTTTGCTAGATATTACTACCTCCGTAACATTCATATCTTCTCACTTTTCTTTGTTGGCTCTAACATTCATATGTTCCCATTTCTAAATCTTCATATCACACCCTCAATAATTTTAAAAATAATACACTATTACAACTACTTTTTTTTGGATTTATCCTTCATCCATCACATTATTCTATTATTTCCCATCATACCCTCAATAATTTATATCCCTTTTAACTATTCATAATCTGCCTACTTTTGAAATGAGAACATATTTACGTTACGGAGGAAGTATTTCTTTAGAAGGATCTATATGACTAGTGAATGTTGTGTTCTACGACTAGGATCTATATAATCCTAGTCGTAGGGTTGATAGTACTAATTGATTACAGATAACTATTTTCAGTATTGGTCACTCTGAGTTTGTTGTAGCGATCCGAATTCTATTGATATTAATATAAGCGGTTTTTCCTATTAGGCCCTTCTTTCATTTAAAAATTGTCTCAAAATGTTGTTTTTGTTACTTATTTGTTCGGATTTGGTGATCGATTTGTACTTCAAATTGTGTTCCTTGTACTTCCAATTCATTGTCGTAGAAGTAATATTTACCGAGTTATTGTAATGATGATGAATGACCTGAAATTTCTCTAATCTTGATCACTGCCAATTTTTTTTAATACGATAGTACGTAGTAATATTTATAGAAATTGCTCTAAATAGGAGCAAAAACGTTTTGAAATTCCAGAATAGGAATATCAGGTTTTTTATTCCATGAATAGGAGTAATTTGCCAAGTTTGAAAAAAAATTCCATGTTTTAAAGCCTAGTAATGCCAAACTTGGCAGAAATTTACTCTTATTCAAAGAATAAAAAACATCATACTCCTATTTTGGAATTTCAAAACTTTTTTACTCCTATTTAGGAACTTCTCTCCAATATTTACGCAAGAACTTGTATTTAAAGAACCATATAATATTGTATACGATAGTATTTAATAATTAATAATTTAATGTATTATAATCTTGAGATGGAAGACCACGTGTTTCGGATTAGTAGGTTAATGAGACGGTTAGTTTAGAATCTATCATATCGGTTGCTGGTAGCTTCAAGAACACCCATATCATCCGCCATTTCATCATCTCTTCTCTGTTCTTCCCGATCGATTCAGAAAAGGTATGGAATCAAAGTTGGAGAAAGATGAATTCTTGCAAGAAGCTAATGTTCAGAATCCTGATTCCCAGCGACACACAATCTCAAAGGTGCCCATCGAAAAAGTTTACAACTTTGATTTTAATTGCCAACTGAATCTCTAATTTACTCCCTCTTTTTGGTCTTCTTTAGTACCCATGATTTCTTGTGAAACAAAAGAAAATGGAAATGAACATCTGGGTTACATCTGAAAGCTGAATCCGATAAGGGGCAACATAAAATCATACTAAATACTATGTAATACTCGTAGTTTATTAGTTCAAATTTCACTTCAACCAAATAATTTTTCTATATGATGTTTACTTTTATCTTAAAAAACTTATGTTGCATGTTATAGATTGTTTTTTTGAAAGGTGTTATAGATTGTTAATGATTGAAAATTAATTGAGCTTATTCATATAATGATCATTTTGAAAGTTTCCTATGAAAAAAAAAGTATTTTTTTTTGCATATTTGATCGTGTAACCAGTAGTACTAGGTATATCTCAACTTAACTCACTCATCAATAGTCATGTGATAAAACTAATAAGTTGGACTTTTTTGTATCACAATCTTTTGTTTGTATAACCTGCCGGAAAAGATCCATGTAAGGGTACCCAATGGCGCAAAGGCTCCCACCTACAGTGAGTAAGGGGGTCGGATGTACGCAGTCTTAATCATGTATTAAGAGAGATTGTTTCTGAATGATCCATAGCGAAAATTACGTCGAAAAACAACTAATTTAGATCATCTATTGGAGATGCTTTGAACAAGTATAAATGAAGACCCTATGAACGTGAAAATCAACAAATCTCGTATCTTCATAATCTTGTTATTAGTTTAAAAAACATTGAAAAACGACAGCAAATGAGCCATTTGATTAGTTAATGCAATGTCTTACAATGGCAGGGGGTAAAAGTGACCAGCAAAACTCATGAGGGGCTTAGCAACAAGAGTTCTTCTTCCTCTTTAGAAGCAGAAGAGGAGGATGAAGAGAAGGTGATAAAAGAGATGAAGAAAATTCAAAAACAGAACAAGGTAACTCATTGTTTGGTATCAGCACTAATAGTGCTGACCCTAACATGGCAGCTCTCAGAGGTGTCTCTGATCCTTAAACTGAAAGATGGGCTGAATCACCCGCTCCGATCTTTGGGCGGGTTTGTCGCCGGGATGTTCAGACGTCGTAAACTACCCATCTCTCAAGCAGAAGAAGATGATGATGGTCAGAGATTGCTGGGAAACCAGAATAAGCAAGGCAGTGGAGCAGCAGCACCCTTCCCCACCATTAAGATCCCTCATCTGTCCCTCCCATCTTTAGACTTCATCACACAACAATGATTATACCAATGGTTATTTTAAGAGTTAGTTTCATCTGTTGCAGTTTGAGTATGTGAAATTGTCTCTTGACTCTCTTCTACCCAAAAAAAAATTGGACCATTTCTCGATTTGTGCGTGTTATCCTTGCGCAGGGGCCATGCTAATCTTCTCTGTATTGTTCCAATTTTATCGGATGTCCTCAGGGGTCTGGGGAGGGGGGCAGTGGGGTCTGGAGTAATCGGGGCTGAAACTCACTACATTGAGTTTCAAACCCTTGTGTACCTAGCGGTTTTCGAACTCGAGACCTCCCATTAATCACGGTAACCTCACCGCCACTTGAGGTTAGAATGTTTGGTTATATATGTATATAATAATGTTTCATATCAAGAATGCCATTACTTCCTTGTCTTTCTTTCATAAAGGTTCCATTGATCCAAACAACAGATACCATGGAGTGAATTGCATACTTCTATTACCAACACCTTTACAAGAAGATAAAAGACATCTCACTATTCGCTGAATTTTTAGATAAAAGTTTCGGTCTTTCTTATTTGATCTCATTTGACATTTTATCGTTTTGTGTGAATCATATAGTCTAGGAGAGCCAATAGAATACCTTTTGGTTGAAGTTATTGTACATTACAGTTTTAACAAATTTTTCATATAATTTTTCTCAATTTTATTAATAAATACATATATTTTAAATCTTTTTTCTTAAAGTTGATCAGATTTAAATGACACAACGAGTTCAGTTAGAATTTCAACATTTTCAATAAGTTGGTTTAGTCAATTTTAAAGTCACCAAACTTTTTGGGGTCGATGAGACACTATTTTTTACATTTGGCATTCATTTTTGAATAGCTTGCATTGATTGTGTATTCATCACCCAATAAAAAAGTAAAAAAATGTTCAAATTGTCCTCGTGTACGTTCATTTTTCCTTTCTTAATTTTAAAGTTTTATTATGGAAAGTTCTCATATCAAAACGGCACGATTATTTAGGTAATAATTAAATAAAGTACTTCAAGTATATTTTTAGTTAGTATTGATAGTTGTGATGTTATAAATGTATTATTTTCAATATTTAATGATTAATTTATTACTCCGTACTTAAGATTGTTAATTATTTTCTAAAATGTAAATGAGAACCTTTTTATATATGAGACGTCCAAAAACGAAAAGTGAGAACCTTCTAATCAGACGGATGGAGTAATAAATATGAACCCTCTAAAAAACAGTGTGTTCCAAAAACATGAACATTATCTAAACACTAACTTTTTATTTTCCTACTTTTCTGATTTACTTTCAATGTCACCCTTTTATTTTGTTTCATGATACTTTGTTTCTTACTTTTTAAAGGTTATCATTATAAAAATTGATAATCTTTTTTTTAAAATCTGTGTCAAATTTTATATGTATGCTCCCTCCATTTCAAAATGATTTACAAAATCAATTTTTGTCAATATAGTTTTACTTTATTTACTTATTTAGCATATTACTTCCTCCGTCCCTCAAAGTTTGTCATAGTTTGACTTCATAAGATTTAAGGAGATGAATGTGACTTTACATTGTAGCGATAGTGTTTCACACTGTAACGACACTGTTTGACGCTATTTGACACTATTTTGCACTGTTTGACACTGTTTGGTATAGATTTGTTTACCAAATAAGGAAGTTGAAAAAATAGGACAAACATTTTGGGACATCTGTTTCAGGAAAGTGTGACAAACTTTAAGGGACGGAGGGAGTATTTTTTATTATATTCTAGTTTGGATGTTGCGATTTTATAAAACTTTCAACACAGATTTCAAATGTGTAGATTTTGTTAAAATCAATTTAACTATCCGCAATAATCATTTAACTTTATCATTAGTTAATCTTAAAAATGCAAATTGTAATTGAATCCAGGATGGGGAGTATTACATATGGCCATATGGGAGTATGGGAAGGACATAGCAATAGATATGAATGTTACGTTAAACATAGAAAAACATAAATGATCACATTCAAAGCCATAATGTAACTTAAAATGAACAATATTGGCGCAATGTTTACAAATTAGTATTCCTTGCATGCCTTAGAATGTAGTCGTTTTTACTTTTTTGATAAATGCTGTCAAAGTGTGGCCAATAATATACTTCACGAAACCATTTTAACATGGAAATGATGTACAAAAACTCTGTTCTAAAAAGTGCAAAGCATATAACTTAAACAAAAACAAAAAACATTTAAGTGACCAAGTGTGGGTCTTAAAAGAGTTTGATAAAAGCGTACAACATATAACTTTAAGAAAATAGAGGATTTTAGTGAGAACTCTTTATAATGATAATTTTCAATTACAATCTTTTATTTTATCCAATCATTATTAGGATGCACATGAGGTTCTTTGTCTAATTATTTAAAACTAAAATACAGTCTTTTGTAATTATAGTCTAATTCCATTTTTGGCGTTATATGTTTTCTGTGAATTCTACATTTATTTCACGTCTTTCAATTTATCCATTTTTTATATTTAACTAATGTTTCTTAACTATTTGTGGTCCTTTTCTGGTAATTTTAACCATCAGAAATGATTGTGACTAGCCCATCTATCACATCTACCTAAACCAATAGAGTAGTGTTCTTGAAATGCAATTGAGCGTGTAGATCAGACCATGCATAAAAAGGGATGACACCCCATTCATTACCCCTATTTAGTTAAGTAATTTATTACTGTAATAAAATGAAAAAGTGATGTTTAACTAGGATCCACAAGCACTCCTTATTTGAGTGTAATATTCCCATTTTCTGTGTTGACAGCTCATTAAAACCATTTTTGCTGGAACTGAATACACAGAAATGTATGTGTGTGTAGAGTGTGAATAGACAATGCATTTGACCTTCCTATAAATAGCCGCTCTAACAATCACTTTCCATCACCCCTTCCTTCAATTTGCCCTTAAATACTTTTCTACCCAAAATGGTTGGCATTTGGTATTTAATAAATGAGTTTGAGCAAGGAAAAACTGTGTGGACATTCAAAGCTAGAGCAATTCGTGTTAATTGAATCCTAGCCTATCGGATTCATGATGAATCATTGCAATGCATTTTCCATGACAGAGAGGTAGTTTTTACTTTTAAATTTGATTTCTAAAAGATGTAGACATTGTATGAACTAAAAACTTGCTTCACAGGAAACAAAAATACATGCACATATTGGTAAATCCCAGGTTGCAAAGTTTCAATCCCTGTTTAAGGAAGGAAATGTTTATGCAATAAAACATGTCTTGATTTAAGACAACTATATGAATTTCAAGACAATAAGGAATGTTTTCAAGTTGTTATTCATCAATAAAGATAAAGCTTTTCAGATTTCAAACATCAATTTCCGAATGAGAATGTTTGACTTTACATCTATTGCTACCTTGCAAGATATGGAAGTTGTTGATGAAACATGCCATAAATGATCATTTTCATAAATAAAAAATTCTTTCATTAAATGATTAATTGAAGAATATTATTTAAAATAATGATCGCTTTTAGATGTGATCAGCAAGGTTACTTCCCTGTCAAACCCTAAGTCCCTGACAAAGAATGGTAGACAAACTGAGTTGGTTGATCTTACCCTTGGGGATGCGCAGTAAGTATTTCAAACTTAAAAATTCAAAGTTTGATGTAATTTTGAAAACTGAAATACATATCATATTTTGTAGTAGAAATACTATCTCTTGCACTCTTTGGGTGAACTTGGTAGATCAGTTGGTAGATTTTCTGAAGACCAAACATATGTCTATCATTCTTATTCTTCAACTATGTCGTGCAAGAAAATTTCAAGGTATGATAAAACTAAATCTTATTTTCAGTTTCTTTATTTATGCTTAAAAGTGCAAACTTTTAGGTCGTGTGGGTGTGATAAACATGTTCAATGTAACCAAGATGCTACTGAATAGCGACAGTGAGAAATGGGTGGAGTTCAAAGCCACGTAAGGAATTCTTAAATAGCTTAAACCACAATTTATGGACAGTGATTTAATCAACTCTTATCGAGAATGACTTAGGTTTGGGCCAGATAATGATGATGATGGGGATGGACAAGCCTTAGGTACTTTCGTGACTCCTACTTTTCAAGATGACCTATGATGCGGGAAAGTCAAGTTGGTTTCGATTGATGATCTAATGAAAATGAATGAGATTGTCATATGGTAGATGTCTTACATTATAAAGAAATGTATGGTGTTTTCTTTATATATAATGAAAGCAGATTTACTTTGTACTTATAAATATAGGAAGGTAAGCATTGGGTCTATGGAGAGATTTTGGCAATTGATAGTTACCAAGACTGGTACTATATCTCTAGCAAGGGGTGCAGTAGAAAAGGTGTATCTTTCCGGTGTGGTGTGTGTAACACAACAGAAGTAGTTCTGAGGTTAGCATATTTTCCGGTGATTTTTTAGACTAGCAGCCACCAATATATACTAAAGTTTTGGAAAGTTTCAGGTACAAAATGAATGTGAGGGTGATGGATGAAACATGTCATGCTTCTTTTGTGTTTGGGACAAAGAATGCAGTGTTTTGGTGGAAAGACAGCAAATACTCTTCTCGAAGAGATCGAAAAGGTTTTCTAAAAGATGAATTTCAGTATATAATTCTTATATGTAACAAATTTCTAAAGTTTAATATGTTTAAGTTGGTGGAATATACAGAAAAGTGTGGGTCCTTACTATTTTCCAATTGAGATTGATGGTTTGGTTGAGATAAAGGGATCGTTTCGAGTTCAGATAAAGAGAGAAATCATAAGCTACAAATTTCTAAAGTTTAATATGTTTAAGTTGGTGGAATATACAGAAAAGTGTGGGTCCTTACTATTTTCCAATTGAGATTGATGGTTTAGTTGAGATAAAGGGATCGTTTCGAGTTCAGATAAAGAGAGAAATCATAAGCTACAGGGGTGTGCCAACATTTAGTATAATTGGAATGAGTTGTGATCCTAATATTTTGTCTTTATACAAGTATAAAGGAAAAGCAGTTGAGGAAGAAGATGATTTAACTTTTCTCAAAAAGGAGTTTTCCGTTCATGAAAAGGTACGTTTACCAAGTTCTTATCTGTTTGTTTTGAAGCAAACTTTGTAATTTTATATTTAGGATTTGCACTTAAAACTTAAACTTAAAACTTAAAACTTAGTATTTAAGTATGTTTAGTATATAGGGTATGTTTGGCACAAC